AAAATGTTGTTATCATTTCCCTATTGTTTCATTTTCTGGAGCGTGCCAAAGGGAAACTTCATGAAATTTTAACTAGACAAATAGTTTTTGCCTACAATTTAAAAATAGCGATTTTTTAAAAATTTAAATGTACAACGAATCCCAGTTTCCAAATCCCACGAATCCAAGGTTTTTGTTCAAAAAATATTTAACAAAGAATTTATTTCAATTTTACTTGCAATAATAAAATACTTGCTATGTAAATAAATACATATATGAAATTAGTAAATATTGTTTAACAACTAAAAGAATTACATATAATTTTAATTTAAAAATAAATATTTTTAATAAAATTTATTATAATTTCATGACTGGGGAAATTATCATTGTATGAAGAAAAATGGCCTAAATTATAGACTTTACTTGCTTTTTAGGATTTCAATATTTTATTAGTGAATTTTTCCCGATTAAATATCTGTAATTAGATATATATATATGTAGATCTAAGTACATACTACATACATACAAGGATAAGGAGTATCTACATATGTATAAGGAATAACGCCTGCTAGTGACAAATTCCTTTAAAAATCCCCATTTATAACTGATAATAAAACTCTTGCATAATTTCTCAATAATTCTAAAGAATACAGAAAATTTAAAATTCAGGAAAACATCTTAAAACAAATATTTCAGAAAGAAATTCATTCAAATATCTACACATTGTTTCCTGATCGAAGCATATAACTATGACGCTTTTGTTTATCTTTTACTTCTAAATTTTTATTTTCCTCTGTAGTTTCTTTAGAGGTTCCATTTCACTTTATAAATATTATAAATAAAAATTTTAAAATATATTGCAAAACAGTATTTTGTTAAAAATTTGGAAAATTCTTGAGGTGTCTGGCAATAATTTAAAAGAAATTCGAAAAATATTCAAAATTTTGGCCTATCTAGTCTAGCGCATACAACAATCCAATATTATTTCTCTAAATAACCCCAAAACTTTTATTACTTAAAAAACTAGATTTATAAGTTTCACGAAATTATTACGTTAACCAAAAATATCCCAGGAACCAATCCGAAAGTTTCGATATATGGTAAGCACAGATAAAGCTTAATGCTTACATAATACCGGTCTAGTTTATGTATGAATATCCCATAAATCACATTAAATTCTAAATACAATGTCTGTCATTTAAAACAAATATCTTTGTTATTTTCTGAATCAAAATTTTGCTAGCTACTCAGTTAAATATACCGATAGTTTCGACGTTTGCGTTTAGACCTTTTAGCCTTAGTTATTTCGCTAATATTTGTTCCATTTTGTGTTGAAATATAAGCTTCTTTAACATGATTATAAATTTTACGAAGATTATCCCCAATTTCCTTTTGTTTGCTCAAATTCTTTTGTTTTTTTACCTCATATCTTTTAATTTGTTTAGTTTTCAATTTAATTATTTTACGATATTCATTTATCTACAATTTAATAGAATAATAACTTAAATTATTATTTATAAATTTACTTTTTCAATATGATCAGCAGGAACATTATCAGGATTTTTTATAATTTTTGAATATATATTTGTTATATATCCCTATAAATAAAAAAAAATTAAATAATTATTGAATTTGGATCCAGGAGTTTCTATTTTATTATTTTACATTTATTTGTGTTCGGTAAAGAAAATAGAATGGATATTGTTATTTGTTGCGGTTAAAAAGTAACTAACAAATGAACCTTATCACAAGTGTAATAAAATGAGGGTATCGTGTGCGCCCTTATGTACGCGCCCTTTTGAGATATACCTGACACTGCACATCACTAAAAATTAACGGTTCGGTCTCGGATATCCGAAGATTTTCCAAGAACGACAGCCCTACTTGTCAACACATAACTAACAGATTTAAATTATTTATGTATATAAATTTGGTATATAGATTTGGTTCTTTGAATCATTTTAATTCCCATCATTAAAAATTTAAAAATAAAATTTTAACCTGTAATTTAATTTTTAAATTTAATTGATCATTAATCATTTCTAAAATATCAGCTAATTCTCCTCTATAGTATAAAAGAGATATTTTCAAATTCTCGTATTGCTTCAATAATTTGTTATTTTCCAAAAGTTGGACTTTGTTTTTAACTTTAATAATTTAATATTTATTCATTGCATATAGGTAAGATATATTATGGACATTATAAGGATTTATAGAAGATATCGGGATTTGGGAAAAAAATCTCGTACTCACTCTACAATATCCTTATCCTCCCATATCGCTCGATATCCATATCAGTTACTCTTGCCCCTATCTTTATGTCGATGACTGTACATATGTCATTTCCTTGTATACAAAAATAAAACGAAAATTTTTTCTTCGGTACTGTTTTTTTTTTCTTTGAAAAAAAAATTTTTTCTTCGAACCGTACTGTCGGTTCCTGGAAAATATTAGAATATCCGAAACCGAACCAAAGAACCGGACCGAAAAATTTTTTTTTCGGTGCCGTTTGGTCCAGAACCTACAACCCTGCTCATAGATGGTAACAAACGAACCAATTAAGAATAATATCGTATTTTAAATAATTAATTAATTATCAAATCAACTTACCAGACACATCGAGTATTATTTCCGAAAGAGGTTCAAGTCCATTAGCAAAATCAAAGAGTTTATTATCAAGAAGGGGGTCACTTTAGTACGTGGGTCCCGGAGTTAATATACAAATGTTATACCATTCGAAAGAGCTCCTCGAGCTGAGTCGAATGACACCAGTTTTAGCCCGAGGAAAAATTTTTGGACCGAGATATAGGTCCCCGAAATTTGAAAAAGCATAGGGGGGACCAAGCACTTTTTTGGGGTGAAAAATTCGAATATGAGAATTATACCTCATTCGAAAGAGCTCGACAAGCTGAGTCGAATGACACCAAAATCACCGTGATTGAACAAGATTAGACAAAGTTATGATACAAAAAACAAAAAACCTAAACCTATGGAGCGTCGGCGAGGCGCTTGTGCAAAACCCCGCGCTTCGCGCGGGGTTTTGCGGCACGCGCCTCGCGGGGAGTCTACGGGTGCTGGGTCTGGGCTCGTAACATAAACCTATTCCTATCTCCCTTGCTCTGGACGTATTTGGGGACTCCGTAGCAGCAAAAATCTCCGCATATGCCATAGGTAAGGAGCTAAAATAAAAAATCATAACTTTGTCCAATCAAGTCAGATTTCGTTGATTTTGGTGTCATTCGACTCAGCTCGAGGAGCTCTTTCGAATGAGGTATCATTTGCATTTTCGAATTTTTCACCCCAAAAAAGTGCTTGGTCCCCCCTATGCTTTTTAAAATTTCGGGGACCTATATCTCGGTCCAAAAAATTTTCCTCGGGCTAAAACTGGTGTCATTCGACTCAGCTCAAGGAGCTCTTTCGAATGTTATAACATTTGTATATTAACTCCGGGACCCACGTACTAAAGTACAGCCTCAAGAAGATTTATCTTATGTTTAAATTAAAATTTTTTTATTATAAAATAGAAATACCGAAAAATATTTTTCTTCACCACCTTCACTGTCATTTTCAATTTGAACTTCATTAGCATCTTCGTGTAATGAACTCTCAATAGAATTTTTACCTAATATTTTAGAAGAAAATTGGAGAAAATAAAATAATGAAATCGATAAACTTTTTTTCATATTCAATCTTTTTTTATCAGACTATTTAAAATTAATTTTAATTTGCACTATAGAATCTCACTCTTATTTACATAAAATAAATTAACCAACTCCCGAAGTCACTCATGACCCGATTCCCACTTCACGATTCCCGGGATTTTTATTTTGCCGAGCATCACTAGACTATAGTAAAGATGGATAGTAGTAAAGCCTGGTTTTTTCCTTTACCCAGAGTCCAGGCCCAGGAATTTTATGACCTTCATGGTGTTTTCCGGGCTTTTCCAAACGTATTATAAATTGAACTTTATACAATTTATTATTATTCTGCAGGAGTTTTCAATTATTAATTAGCGATAGCAATAAAAAAATAAATGGGAAAGGGAAAACCTTTGAAGTGAGATAGATTTTAACAATTTAAAAATATTTATTTACATGTTAAAGTGCAGATTTAAAAGAATTTAAAAAGAATGCCGAAAAAAATTTTTTTATTAAAAAGGAAGAGACCAAAACACAAAAATAAAAAAGACTTTTGAAATTGTTTTTGATGTAGGCGCTAACATATTTTGTAGAGACGTCCAACACTCTGGTCTTGAGTCTTGATTCCAAGACTTTTCTTGGACTTTTTCTCGGTCTTGGTCTTGGGGTGAAGTCTTGGTCTAGACTTTTTTGAGCTCATCTAAAGTTACACCCCTATGAATTGAACTGTTTTGATATTTATAAAGAAAAGGTCAAAAAACAAGATTTAAAAAAATTATCTTTAAAATATTATTTAAAAATCTATGTACATATTTTGAATATCTCATAAATTTCCCTCAGAAAATCCAGAAGCCTTATTCCTATTCAGCCCATTTATTTGTATTGTTAGTAAAACTGGTACTATAAATAGACCATGAATTGTGCCAATAATTCTAGTAAATTAAAAATTAATTTATATTTTAGGAATTATTAAATAGGGTTGAAAAGTATTTTTCGATTAGCTCTGGAAATCAAAAGATTTTACAAGCCTACTTATTGATAAAACAATTATGTATTTGGACTAGTAACCTCATAAGGAGCCCAACCCTGAAGTTATCCTTCCCCGATATCTTCCAAATCTCCTGATATCCAGATATTTCCCTTAATCTATGACCGGATGAAGGGTTATTATCTTCATTTACATATACACATCTTATTCCCGCCTAATCCCTCATCGCCTTATCCATCCTGATCCCCGGATTAAACTAATATAGTAAAGAAATAAAAGGAATAAATAGTGTGATAAAATTTGTAGGTCTTCAGGTTGCCCCCTTATAAGTATCGGTAAATGGTCAATCGCTATAATTGAGATTTTTGTTCGAGATCCCTTTATATAAAACTGAATTACCCTAAAAACAAAACAGTTCTAGCAAACGAAGCAATAATTTCAATTGAGATAAAGAAAAGAGGGAAAATACAAATTATTGTTGAGATAACAGCCTTTAGTTAAAATTATTTTTTAAAATTAAAATCGAAATTTATACCTCAAGCATAGGCCTACCAACAACTTCAAGTATTTGTTCTATCCTTTTTTCAATTTCTTTTTGTTCAAAAATTTTAATATTGTTTATTGGAGACTCTGTTTGAATTTCTTTTTGTTTTTCTTGCGAAATATCAAAATGATAACAAATGTGTGCTGAGAAATCAACAGAAAGACCGATAGCCATCAATAAATTGATCATTGTAACCTTAAAGTTTTTTTAAATTTTATTTGAAATATTACTAATTTGGCATTTGCAAATCGGATGGCGCGACACGAGGCTTTCTTTCGTACTGATCTATAATACCCGCAAACCTCAGAAAGCCTTATTTTTCAAGATGCCCGATTCGCGCGCTATCAAGAATATATCTACAATACTCCGGAACCCCTGTCTTGGGACCGGCCAGGTGATCCGAAAAAGCTTTGTCGTGGATCCTGCCTGCGGTCCCGAAAACCTTGAACTGAATCCGGCCCAGTGGTCCAGAAAGCCCTTTATTGGCTCCAGGCCGGTGTCAAATATAACTTAAAATATACTATAGTTAAACTTCAATATTTAACTAAAATTTAAATATTTACTGGGTCTATGTCTTGACCGCACCAACCGAGTGTGCCCAACAATGCTTAAAATTTAAAATATATTTTTACATTTTTATAAAATTATTAACTATAAGAAATTGAAAGAACGGAAAAAGTAGCAATTCCTGTACATCGTAATGTTGGGATGACGAAAAAACAGATTAAAGCCATACACGTTAAAGTTACAAAAACTGCTTTGAGCATTTCGGTCTAAAATTTGACAATCAAATACAATAGAGTTTAATAGAGTTTTAATTTTATTTTTCAAATTATCGCTCGAAAATTTAATATTTACCTTAACTCCCAAAATTAAATCATAAATAGTCGAATCATAATCAAAGACCGTAACATTAAATTTCGGAAATTGATCCACAATATTTCTTATTTTATCAACAAATAATGCTCTTTCAAGCCAATTCAAATCTCCTTTAATTATTCAAAAAATATAAATTAAAAAATAATTTTACAAACCCCCACGGGAAATTCCAAAAACAAAGCTATCAACAGATATATTTCCTCTTTAAAAAATTTTTTTCTAATAAAAAATAAGATAAACTAACAATCCAAAATCTCTGAATTGTACAATTCTTTTATCATCCATTCTTCTCTCTTTTAAAAATTGCGGAACCAAAGAATAGTTTGGTTGGTAATTAATTGAATTGTTTAAATTCATTTTGGTTTTGTGATACTAAAAATAAATTTTTGTTAGAAGGATAACAATACTTTGTTAATTTCCTTCTAAAAATAATAAAATCCCCCATCTCTCTCTTTCATCACCACTCTTCCTTTCCCATCCAACCCTCTTTCATCCTCCCACACTTTTTCTCTCTCCTGCTTCTTCCCCCCCCTCTCTCTTTCAACACCCCTTTACTTTATCTCTCCCTGTTTTTCCCCTCCCTCCCTCCCACCCTCCCTCTGTCTTTCATCCCCCCTCCTATCCCTCACTGCTTCCCCACTTACTACCTCCGTATCTCTCTCACATCCCTCCCTGTGTCCCTCCAGCACACGATCTCTCCTTAAATGCTTATCTCTTATCTCTTAATCTCTCCTTATCCTTTCCTTCCTTATCCTTCACTTACTTCCAAGTAGCCATTAAGCCAAATTTGAACATGCAACGTATTTGGCAAATTTTGTATAATATTAATCATTTTGTTGAAATCGTTTAATTCTACAGGATCAGAAATATTTGGAGGATGAAAGACAAAAAAAGAAATTGGAGAATGCTAAAAATTTTAAAAATATTTATTTTTCTACAATTATATTTTACATATTTCATAATTCTATTAAATATTTTGATTGTATCCTGAAGTGGAGAATCGCCAGGAAATGTCCTTTCTGGTATAAAACTTGTCTCCATTTGATTAATTCCAAAATAAGCTAAAATATATGAGATGAAGAGTAGAACAAATATAGATATTTTTGCTTGAAATGAAACGAGAAATTTTGAATAATAACGTAGAAATGATGAAGAAAATGAAGGAGAAGATCTAAAATTAATAATAATCATATTAGATATTTTTAGATTTTATTTTTAAACTATTTGGAATTCAAATTCAAAAATTCAAATGAGTAAATGATAGACAGCCTGTCATGTTAACAGAGCGATGCAAAATATACGCCCATCCGTTTCAAAAAATTCTTCAATGGCAGTGGTTCGAATTTTTCGAAAAATTAAATCACCAACTTTTCTGGGTTGGATGGGACTTGGTTGGGTTTGTTGAGGATGATGAGTTAGATGGGACTCAATCCTGAAAACACTCCGATGCAATTTTTTAGCCTCTCAAAAATCCATCTATTCAAGCTGAACTGAAAGGAAACTTCGCTGGCCATATATTATAGTGACTCCAAAAATCCTATGATAAATCCATGAATTGTCTTGAATAGAGCATGATGATATTTTTATGAAATTTCACAGCAATACTAGTATCTTTCAAATTAATTTAAAAAATTCTTTTTACCTTTCCTTTTTTAATTTTATTATTCCAAAAAGAGGCCAATTTTCTCTTTCTATTGTATTCTCGTTTTCTTCAACTTTCCATTTAATAAAAGGAAGACAAGGTGCAAATATTAAAAATTCAAATAAAAAATCCAAAAATATAGCAATTGAAGTACACAAGCAAAAATTGGACATTAAAGATGATGGAGAGAAAATACCAACTCCAAAAGCAATTCCATTAGTCAATGAAGTTATTGCTATAGAAGAACCCATCTCTCCAAAAACATTTGCCATCCTTTGAGCAAATATATCTTTTTAAAAATTATTTTGAGAATTAATTAAATGATGCCCAATGACCCATGCTCAATGACCTTCAATGACTTCTAATTTAATGCCCGGGCATTGTATCATCGACAAAGGGCATTATGTTAGAAGCGGCATTTAATTGAAGGGAAACATTCAAGAATAATGGAATCATCTTTAAAAGTGGCATTATAATGTGGCATTAAAAGTGGCATTATATTAGAACGGGCATTATATTCGAGCGTGATATTGTATTAAATACTTCTAGTTCGAAAAAGATCGAAAATTTTCGAATCCGGTTTCATGTTTCTGCTACCATCCAACATTATATAGTATTTACTATCAAATTTTTACCTATTTTTTGATTACTTTCTTTATTTTCGTTTACTTCCTTTTGTTCAATTGATGCCCATTTTCTCCAAGAATGTATTAATAAAAAAGCATTATCCACCCCAATACCAAAAACTAGAAACGGCATTATAGGCATTATTGAATTAAATTTAATCCCAATCCATCCAATAATTGAAAAAGCAACAGAAATTGATAAAAGAGGTGAAAGTAATGAAGAAGTAATTAAAATAAACTAAAAAATAATTTTTTATACCCTAATCCGTCTCAGGTCGGAGCGGCCAGGCTCCTGTGTGTCCTGTGTGTCGGAGCGGCCAGGCTTCAGACCAGTCTCCTGTGCTAGCTATCACCGATAGCTCAGGAGCCAGACTGAATTATCACTTATAATAAAGCTGAAATGGGCTATAGATATTTCTCCTATAGCTAATGCAAAATATTATTCATGCGTCTACATTGGTGCTCAAAATTTTGACTTTGTACGGTAGTGCGAAACTTGCGGACGTACTTTTGCAAACCATAGGTTTAGGTTTTTGTTTTTCTATCGTAACTTTGTACAAGCTTGTACAATCACGATGGTTTTGATGTCATTCGACTCAGCTCGTCGAGCTCTTTCGAATGAGCTATGTTTTGAGAAATTGTCGGTCTGGAAGTTTCGGTCCGCAAAAGTCTGTCCGCAAGTTTCGGCCTGCCCTTTGTACAAAGGAATCCAACTATCGTTTCAGGATTTCTGAATCGTTTCAGGAATCCAAGAAATATTGACGCTAATAATCATCTGCCGTATATGTAATTACCCGCTATCATTTAATTTCTCCATAATTACTCTTGAAACAATAATTAATTGATTTAATAAAAAAAATTGCCTGAGATTTCCAATTAAACTGCCAAAAAGCCACGATCAAAAATAAAATCATCGCAACCACCCCAATGCCCAACAAACTTGTAATCTTCTTAGCACCCCTCATCATTTCATAATTAGCTAATTGATCAGTATAAATTAAAACTTTGAAAGTTAAATTCTTCAAATCTCCATTATTTATATTATTAAACAATTTTAATTCCAAATTATTTAATATTTCCATTTGATTTTTATTTTTATTGTTTCCATCAAGTAAATAACTTTAAATTAATTAATTAAGGAATATTTTTTGTAAATTTTTTACTAAATTCCAATAGTTTCCACAGATTCTATTTTTGAAGGAAACTTCACTGAATTGTTTCCTTGCCTTAATTTAACACCAAAAAAATGAGAATCCAAAGGAACCTCAAAACCATAAATTTGAGATATTGGAAAGTCCAAATTAATTTGTTTATTTAATTTTGATGTTAATAAAAGCGATGTACTTTGTAATTGATATGCCCATTTAAATGCGTGAAAAAGATAATTCATATCACCTTTGCTGGTCTAATAATTAAATACAATAATTTAGTTAATTATTTAGCTCGTATAAATATCACGAGTAATTAGTGTTTCACCCTCTCAACGGGGGGAGGGGGAAATGTGGAGGAAGCGGTATCCGAGGAAATATCGCATCTGAGAGCACCCTAGCTATAACTATTCTTAAGTGGCTATAGTTTAACCTCACGCTGGGTAGGGGTAATTATTTTAGTGGTCCTCTTTTTGGAGAGGGGATTTATTTAAGCATATAAATTATTGAAAAAACCTCAAAATCCTTTAAGCGAACAACTCTTTGACTATTATTATTTCCTTCAGAAAGCCCCTCAAAATTAATTTCCAAAGAAAATTCTTTTATATAACGATCTAAAATCTCCACATCTGAAAGCAATTTATCATTCATAATCAAGCGTTTGTCTGAAGTTTTTGGTTCCAAAAAGTTCAAAACAAGATCTACTCCGTCTATAGAGACATTATAAAATTCAGCAAATGCCTGCAAATAAAAAATTTTTTTATTTTACATTTTTTAATTTTAATAAGTATATGGGTTTTCAGAAAATGTGAAGAAGATCGGCCCAATATTGAAATACAAAAAAAGATGTTTTGGACTATGATTAGTTCAAATGACTTAACTCGGGCCTATTTTAGTCAGACAAGAACCAGAGAGGTTGACGGTCCCTGGGGAATCTCCGGATGGTACTCTTGGATATCCCATCTCAGCCTTATTATGAGTCTCAGTTATACTTTCATTCTTCATTAATGTTCCAGACTTTTATTTTCACTTGTTAATAATGATATACATGAAGATGGAAATATAAATGAATTCAAATTAGGAGGGGTACGAGGTATTAAAAGTAACCACTGAATATTCAACAGATTCCCATAATCAAGCTCTGATTTCGGATATCCGACACCGTCACTCTAGAAAATGGAAAAGGTCTATGTACTCCAAGTAAAGGTATACTCTAAATTGAGAAAAATTTTAAATTATAATTTCTACCTTTGTTTCACTTGTTGCCCTTCCATTTTTAGGGGAAAACCCTCTCCTTACATCAGTTTCTACTTTAATGTCATTAAGTAAATAATAAGATAATGATGGAAGGAATAAAAATAAATTTGTTAAAAAAACAGTTTTGGGTCTTTTGCCAACTATGAAACCAATTTTTCGAAATAAAGATGATAAACTCATAAACAAGCTAAAAAATAAATTATTTATTTATTAAAATAAATAATAAATATTTATTTATTTTTTATTAACTTTAATTAATTTTTTAAAATCTTGTTCCAAATTATAAATATGATTAATTATTTAGATGAAATTACATTTACATTGTTTAATAAAATATTTTTAACTAATTAATTTTTAAAGGCGATTAAAAAATAATTTAAAAAGGAAGTTTAAGAAAAATAATATTATTCAGTAAAAATTATTAGGATTGGACACAATCAGTTATTAACCCTTACCATGATTTTTTGTTAATACAAATCTCAAAAACCGGGGTTTCTTTTTGAGTTTTAGTTTAGTATCCGTTTTATTCTGGGGGAATTTTTCAATTGCTCATTTCAAAAATTTTTTTTTTGAAAATTTCATAAAAACGGCATATTTTTGGCAAGAAATATCAAAAATTTCGCTTCTTAAACAAATTAATAAATATAATTTTAAATCTTAAACAAGTCGTACCCCCCCCCCAACAATTATGTATTTACTAATTAATTTTCAAATTATTAAAAAAACATGAAAAATCGGATGCTATAGCAATAGATTTTCATAAAATTGAATTTTGAAATTAAAGAAAATTAATAGATATAATTTTAAATGTCAAGAAAAGGCTCGTTTACTCTTAAGTTGCTCTCAATCTTTTAAATAGAACAAGTTTTGTTATTTTTATTGTTTTTTATTAATTTTGGCGATATTTTTTTATGAAAGTACGAAATTTTTATTAAAGAATGTTTTTAAATTTTAGTATAATAATTTTACGTAAATATTATTATTTTTTTATTTATAAAACACACATTTTTTTGAATTTTAGAAATTTCTTATTCACTTAACTGTAAATATTATTTATTACAACATCAAATATTTTGGTTCATCCCTGATTTTTTTGAATAAATCCTCTCTCGAATCTTTAATCTTTGTATTTAGCGCTTCTGATAAATTAATTTGCTCGTCACTTTCATTATATTCTCTGATCGTGTAAACGGCATTTTCAACTGCTAATCTTGCTAAAAATTGAATATTTAGATTATACATATAACGGAGGGTATAAGAATAGGTAATAAGTAGGGATCGGATTTTTTTGTATCTGATTTTCATGTATCATGTATCGGATTTTTATTTATCACTATAGTATAAAAGCCTCGTAGGCGTCAGTCTAGTTCGATTATATAGCTCGTGGCGTCATTGATCTTTTTCGTCTGTTCAATAAGGTTGTCGGATAGTTGGAAATCTTCGGATATCCGGATCCGGATCCGGTATCCGAACCGAAAATTTCGGATATCCGGATCCGGATCCGATATCCGAACCGAA